GAACCGCTCCCTCTTCAAACACAGCCCATTCATTAGTCTCACACCACTTTTTTTTCGTGTGTGTGGGCTAAAATATCTGTAAATATTAAATTTCAGCCACTGAGCTTTGGACAGTGTTTTAATTTGGAAATGCCGGCACCCCTTTTTGAGATCACTTCCAGACACATTTTGGGTGACCACACACGAACCGTTTACCAGAAGCGCACCGCTTTGCTGTACGGCGATTGCAGCCTTCCTTGCAGCCCTGGCCCCACGCTGACAAGCAAGACCGGCAGACATGGGCCAAACCCTGTGTACACAGAGGAGAGGGATTCTGCCGAAAAATGCACCCTGCTCGGCAATCTTTTCCTCCCGCAGGAACCGGAGGAAAACTTGTTTCCGTTCCCACCTTCAAATATTTACAACAGCGAATTTACAGCCGTAGTTTCTGTTCTTCCACCTTAAAAGCGAGCATCACCGAGTAGAACGCGGCCCACACTTTCTGCAGCTGTGCAAACATCTCTTAGACCTTGACCTCCAACAGTAACTGTAATAAAGAAATGTCAGTTTTGAGATAGTCCATGTTAAAAAACTTTCCAAAAGGTTTGTTAGGAGGAGGGGCAACAGCCAAATTAACCAGAGAGGAGAGAGTCTGGTCCTTCTGCTGTTTGCACCAAGGCGGTGACGGCTTACAGCTGGCTGAGACTTAATAACAAGGGCAAACAAATCAGGCTTGCAGCCTTCATTGTTTCTCCATCCTATACGAAGGTCTAAGGAGACTTATGTATTTAGAAATACATAGTTCCTGGTTGTCATCTCCACAGACCTATGAGGGATGCTGGGTCACCACGTCAAGCCCCAGCTTCCCAGGCAGCCGGACGTGTCTCACTCTTTCTATCTGTGCTTCTACCCAAAGAGCTCCGCAGGTGCAAAGACCCATGTCGGTAAGGAGCAAAGGCACTCGGAGCACCCTGCCCTCTTCCCCACCACATAGGCAGCTCCTCTTTGGAGTGGAAGACTTATGAACCCACTGAGGGTAAAGGCCTTGTCCCTTTTGGGACATGGCTGCCTGATGTGATGAGTTAAGACTTTTGAAGCAGAGGACTTGAAGCAAACAGCTCCTGGCCTCTTCAGGGGGACACTGACTTTTCGTCTTTCCGATATGAAGAAGGAAAAGGCACAAACCCCACTCCAGTGGCATTTCCACCCGCGAGTCTATTTTTACGCTCCTGCCAGACATGGCACAGATCTGCCAGTCATGACAAACCTGACAGGTTCTGATACGGAGGTTTGCAGAAATGTGTTCTTAGGTTTGCTGCACATGCCACAACTGTGACTCACTTTCTGTGGTAACAAGGAGACAGAGACAACCTGGCAAGCCCAGAGCAAACAAGTGATATCACCAGCATGATGCATACATTTATAGGCATCATTACATTTCTCGACTAGGACTGCAACTAAAACATTTCCAAGTAAAACAAGATATGTGGGCACGGGAAAGAAGTCAATACCTTAGAAATTATGTTTCCTGACACATGCACCGTGTCAACAGGCATCTCATCCTGAGCACTAAGTAATCACTGACCCAAAATTTAGCTCATGTGTGGGTACCAGCGATCTGGTTGATTACATTGCACAAATGGAAATCAACATCATCCTGAGGTGTTAAAAAAATGTTGCTTGAGAAACTCCGTTTTACCAAATGTTAAAGCAATTGCCAACTTAAGCGGAAGGATGGGGATGTGTTGAATATGGACACTCTCAGTGAAAGCGGCTGCCTGTTCACGCACAGCCTGTTGTATTCTCCCAAAATTACAGTTTGACCCACACACAGCAGAAATGGTGATCAAAAACCCATCCTGCTTAAGAGTTTAAAAGAAAGAGTAGCAATCTTACAGCGAGTAACATGTCAGGAATGGGTAAGTGGGAATTACAGGCATCAGATACAAATGGCAAGTTAAAAGGTGTATGTGACTGATAGGGGAAGCTGAAGGAATTAATTAAATTAATTAAAGGCTCCACAGACTTACAGCTTAGGGCAGGCATGGGGCCATTTCAAGAGGCAGAGAGGAAAGTCAAGAACAGCAGAGCAGAAATATCAGCTGCCTTCAGCATCTACTTATGATTGCTTTTCTATTTCGGGACGGGTCCTCTCATGGAAAAGTACTGATGCACAGGCACCTTCCACAGCCACCATGTTTACTTTCAGCTTTCCCCGAACTGGGAAAGCTCCGCAGCCACAGGGTGTGAAGAGGAGGAGAAGCTGATAAGCCTCTGGCCCTGATTCCCAAAACACTGACTCAAAGCGGACCAGTTCCCTCCGAGGCTGTCACTGCCACCACACCACCGCCAGCCTGCCAAGAAAGATGTGACCAGCTTGACTTTGCAAGTTGGCAGATCAGCAGGCAAGCAGGGGTTAGCAGGTCCGTGGCCGGAGGCAGGCCAGCAAGGGGTGAGCGGTGGCAAGGTGCCGCATCCCCTCAGGCAGCCATCATGCCTCTTTCTTCTCCGCTGGGAACCACACCGGCCGGGGAGCAGCTGTGTGCAGCAGCGTGAGGCCGCAGAGCGTCACGGCGAGGCCGACCCACCACAGAGGCGTCCATGTCTCCCCAAAGAGAAGCTTGCCCAGGATGGCCTGAAAAAAAGACAGAGACAAAGCTTTGCTGGGCCAAGCTGCCCCAAAGCCTCCTGTGCTGCCAGAGCTGCGGGGACTTCTGCTGGGAGAGCCGGTCCTGGAAAAAAACTGCTTGAGGAAACTCCTGTTGAGACCAACAAGAGAAATGGCTGCTGTGGGTGATGCTGGTGACGACCTATGCTACCATCCAGCCTGGAAGCACAGCCAGATTGCGGTGCCAAAGCAGGATTTTGGCAGATGCACTTATACTTTGCTGCCTTCCCAGCACCTCTTGGGAGCCAAACGTCCAGTTGACTGGGTGACTCCAGTCGACAAAAAAAGGGGCCCCACTGACTTGAGTTTTGGACACCACCATGAGCCGGCTGCGAGCTGTTGGAGCACAGAAACAAGGTGGACAGCTGCTGAGAAAAGCGAGCAGAAAAAAACACGCTGGTCAAAAATGCTCTTGTGGTCACTAGAGGCAGTGCGTCTTCACACCCAGCTGGGGTGGCTTTGGCTTGTCACAGGTGAGGTGTTGCAAAGGAAAAGCAAAACAAAGCAAAGCTCCCAGCTCCAGCTCTCACTGGCAATTAGAAAAGTTCAGTAAACTGTACAGCTGCTGCAAGGCACTGCACTGGGCACTGGGCAGCAGTGCCCTTCCTCCTGTGCCACCCAGAGAAACCCTACAGCCCAACAGGCAGAAGAGCTGAGGCCCGATACAATCATTTCATGTCTGCTTGTAACTCTCCCTTTGCAGCCAGCAATGCCAGTTGTGCTGGGAGGTGAGCTATGACCAGTCACATCCAGTGAGACCGTTGGCACATCGCTGCGCTCTTCCACGCTTCAGCGCCTGGGGAAGGCATCTACTCACCGAAGAGATGAAGTTGGAGGCTGTCGTCATCACAGAGGCAGCAGCCGAGGAGGAGGAGAGTCGCAGGGCTTTTGCAAAGACAGTCCACATCACCACATTGCACGCCAACACCAAGCCAACACAGCCGATGCGAAGCAGCACAGTCAGCTGTAGGACAAAAGGGAAAACCCCATGTTTTCTCACTGACCGCTCATTCACCCTCACTATTGGTATTACATGAAGATGAACATATTAAATTGCAGAAGGAAACAGAAACAAGGAAACAGCCCTGGATGGCACGTGACCCTGGCACATCCTGCTGTGAGTCCAGGCTCAGGCCACAAGCTGGTAAGTACCAGGACAGCGTACAGCAGCTGCCATGCCAGAAGCCAAACTCCAGAAAGCTCTCAAGCTCTTGACATGGTGCACATGCAATCCAGTGAAATGCACTTCACGCATCGCTAGATGTATGGAAAAAAGGTAGAATTCAGCCCTGCCAGAGAGGAACACCGAAACTGTATGTGCTGGCGCTGTGTGTGGCCCAGGACCTGTTGGTTGTGAATTCGGGCTGAGACTAGTGTGGTCCCAAACCACTGGTCCTCACCACCTCCCATGACCTGGCCTGCCTTACTGCTGCCGTGAGGGCAGAGCAGGGTCCTCTGGGAAGAAAGTGAGAGGTGAGGGGCTTCATGCCTTATTTCGCACGCTCGCTGGAGAGCAGGTTTACTGAGAGCTCTCTGCTCCAGCGTTTAGTGGCAACAAAACCACCTCTGAATTCAAGGGCCTTCAAGGACAATTAGGTTCTCAAGAAAGATCTCCCTCCTTAGACAACCTGACAAGACATGTAACAGCCTCACTCTGAAAAAAGGGCAGAGTTTTGCCTAAAAAGCCTTCACCATTCACAGTCTGCCCCCACACCCATAGTTTTAGCTGCTGCAGCCATCTCCCTAGCCCCTGGGTGTCGTGTGCTTGACATGATGACACCAAGGGAGGAAATCACAGGCAGAACGACTCTCACAAACACTCAGGGAGCGCACGAGGGCAAGGGAAAGCAAGGCTTTGTCTAAGCTGATAGTGATCATGCCTTCATGGCCCATCACCTCTCTCAGTCCATGGTGGGCTCCATCTTGAAGGAGACAGAAACATAGGTACGAAGCCGCCAACAAACACATCCGAGAAGTGGCACCTGCCCCATGGGAACAGCTGCGCTGCAGCCCCCTGCCAGTTGCCCAAATCAATGGGGGTCACCGACCATGCTCTGCTCCCACTCGGAAGAAGAAATTATTAACTCCAAACTAGGGGAGGCCACAGGGATTTCTGAAGCAAGTGACGTAGCAAGCACAAAGCTAAAAGGGAAGGGCCGTAAAGCAAATCCCTGGTTGGTGGCTTGCGCAAGCTCTCTGCGGCTAACCCCATCCCAGAGAGGGACGGTTCAGGTGTTCAGCCTCGTTTTGCCCCACTTGTGGCAAAGGTCTCCAACTTTATCAGGGCAACGGTAAATGATCCAAAACAATTCCCACCAGTGAAGCACTTTGCTTTCCCACCACTGCCACAGCAAACTCTGCACAGAGGGATAAGAGGGACAACCATACCCAGCTGCTACTGGCCTTCTAAAGAAGAAACCTCCTGCCGTGTTACAGCTCACTGTGGGATGAGGTTTGCCTCCCGGCTTCAGCCTCTGCCTGTGTGACCAGACAGTTTTACCTTGCTCAGGGCAGTTATGTTACACCCACATACACATCTAGTGGGCTGGCAGACTTGGGAGTAAAGACAGGAGAGGGCAAAACAATTCTCTGTGTTTCATCTAAATTCAGTATATTACTTCTGGACCAGAAAGAGCCTACTGAGGTACGCTGCTATGAAAAAGGGCCTTAAGAAAAAGAGATCGTGTTACTGGCTTTAACTACCTGCCTGAGGTGTAGAGAGGATGGAGCCTAGGGTCTTCTCCACGGTGTGTTGGGATATGACAAGAGGCAGCAAGTAAAGATTAGAACAAGTGAAGTGTTGATCTGATACAAGTAAAAACAAAGGTGATCAAACACTGGAACAGAAGTCACGGGCTCTCCAACCTTGAAGATATTAAAAACTTGACTGGAAAAGGTCATGAGCAACCTGTTGCAGAGCAGGGGTTGGACTATAGACCTTCGGAGGTCCTGCCTGACTTGAATTAGTCTGTGAGTCTATCAGTGGTGGAGCAAAGCTGGTTCCCACCATCACAGCAGCTATGCTATCTTCAAAAGCGACCCTGAACCCATGGGTTCATCTTCTGATCTTCTTCTATGGCAAAGCCAGGGAAATCAGCTGCAATGTGCTCTGGAGGTGGCATATGTCCAGCAGGAAGGTTCTCCAGGGAGATATCCAGTCCCTCTGTGTCCTGGGCAAAGGAGTGGTTGTTGCAATGGCACGCAGGCAGAGAGACAGGAACATCCCCAGGTGTTCCCCACAAGGAAGGAGGGAGGTATAAATTCCTTCCTTGCCAAGGGCTCAGCTGAGCCAGCCCAGTGAGTCAAGGATTACTGTTCTGATTGCTTTTCTAAGAGGAGATTAATTTCAGTGTACATTTCAGATAATCCAGAATCGCCCCTGAAGTGGCAGAAGTAATTTTACATGAAGTTTGGCAGGGGAGAGGGGAAAGTAAAGGGAAACTTTTGTTCCAAGTGAAACAACCCCTCCTGGTCAGGCTGCTCTCAGGCTGGGCCATCACAACACATCCTTCTGGCCAGGAAATCCATCTTTGTGCTGCCATCGAGTATCCTGCTACCCTACGTCATAACCTCCTAGAAGCGTCAATACACTTTTAGCATTTGCGGCTGCTTTCCACACTGCACAAGTGATGGCTGCTCTCTTATTTTCAGATTTCTGTAGTTCTTCCTCAAACACAAAACTCCTTGAATTTCTGTCACCTTGTGGCTGCTCTGCAGAAACGCCTTTGTAGCAAGCGTGCAGGATTCAAACAGCGAGCCCTCTGAAACACTTAAGTGTCTACGGTCCTGTGCAATTTAAGCTACTAGGAAGATTATGGCATTTACTTAAAACTCACTTAGTTTTACAGCTAAACTGATTAATTTAGTTCACAATTATCACCTAGAATGGACCTGAAAGAAGTAACTGAAGGAACCAATTTGTCTAGAAAAAAGAAACACAATCACAGCATGGTTGAGGTTGGAAATGACCTCTGGAGATCACCTGGTCCAACCAGCAGGTTGCCCAGGACCATGTCTAGATGGTTTCTGAGTATCTCCAGGGATGGAGACTCCACCACCTCTCTGAGCAACCTGTGCCAGTGCTCAGCCACCCTCACAGTGAAAATGTGTTGCCTGATGTTCAGAGGGAACCTCCTGTGTTTCAGTTTGTGCCCATGGCCTCTGGTCCTGTCACTGGGCACCACTGGAAAGAGCCTGGCTCCGTCCTCTTTGCACTCTCCCTTCAGGTATTTACACACATTGATGAGATCCCCCCGAGGCTGAACTGTTCCAGCTCTTTCAGCCTCCCCTCATAGGAGAGATGCTCTGGTCCCTTCATCGCCTTCGTGACCCTTTGCTGGACTCTGTCCAGTAACTCCATCTCCTTTTTGTACTGGGGGGCCCAGCACCGGACATGGTGCTCCTGGTGTGGCCTCACTAGTGCTGAGTAGAGGGGAAGGATCACCTCCCTTGACATTTCACCTCAATGACACGATACTTTGTCATAGCACCTTAAAAAAAAAAACAACAAATGGGCAATATTTCTATAAATTTCAAAGGAGAAAAATACTCAGAAAAGATGCTGCCAACATTTTCAGTAATTCCACGCTCTGCTTTTCTGTCAGTGCACAGCACAATATTTTGGGGGGGGATCAGGAACAGCATCAGGATTTAAAATTTTTGATCCTCCTTCCTGCCCTCCTTTCTGATATATTGGAAAGGATGAACAGGATTACTGAGTATGGAGTTTTTTCTTTTTTAACCATCTCTAATAATCACACAAAAGTTGATTTTCTTTTGTCCTGATGCAAGGCTAGGGTTTTTTGAGATCTAATTTCTCTTGTGGGTTCTCCTATTGAATTTCAAGTCCATATCCACATTTGCCATACAAATAACAACCCCTGCTCTAGGCCTAAATGGGTCTCCCCCATGTGTTTTTATGCTACGCGTATGCTGTCTACCTCAGCATCTCCCCATTCGCGCTGCCTGTGCCAGAGTTCACCTCTGCAGGTAAGGACACCGCGTGCTGGAGGCGAAAGGCCAGGAGTCCCATGTAACCTTAAGCACAAGGAGGTTTGAGAAACACAACCGAGATAAAGATCATCCCTAACAAACGCCCAAGCAGAGCTCACCCGGTGAGCCCATCGGCTGAGCAGCCCCGTGGAAATCAACCGCTCCACCTCTCCGCTCTTGTCATCAGCGAACAGAAGTAGAAGAGAGGGAGAAGGGCAAGTTATTCGCGAAGCGGAGGGCTGACAACAAGCGTGTGATACCCAAGCGTACTAACGTCCTGCTTTGAAAGCAAAACTGACACAAAAGCACAACAAATGGGCTTTCAGAGGTGGGTTTGATTTGGTTTCAGGCGTTCCCATACCACGCTCGGTTTCTTCTCTTTTACATACCAGCAGACTTGCTCCAGTCTGCTTGCTGTGTTTACAGTACCACACCGCATTAGTCACCCCTCCAGCAGCTACAAGGCCAGGCTCCCTCACGAGTGAGTCACGGCCCGGCTCTCCGCGCCCGCCCCAGTTTCCCAGCAGATCCCTCTGAAGGAAAGCGCAGGGCACCCCCGGGACGGGCATGAGGAAGACCCAGCGCCTTTCCTCCCCGCGACGGGCGCAGTACGCAGCGAAGCCCTAACGCCCGAATAACGCCCGCCGCGGGGACGCAGGCAGCGCGCGCGCTA